GTCTCTGGCATCTTGCTCCTCTTGTCACTGCCATGCCCTTCGTCCTCATCAGCTCCCTCCCAGCCTCTGCCTATCTGGGAGAGGTGTCTCCTGCTGCATGCATCCTGACACAGGTGGAGGGATGTTCCAGCCCCCCCCCCCCCCCCCCCCCCCCCCCCACACACCCCCCTTAGAGGGGCCCCTAACCCCAACCCACCTGAGCACCTGCAGCCCTTACGCTGACGGGCTCATCCTGAATAAGGTCCAGCTGACCGCCGCACCAGAACAAACAGTCCACGGAGGGAGCCTCTAATGGCAGAGTGAGGCCACCAGGACCCTCCGGTAATGCCGGAGAACGGGTTCCCCAGAGAGCCGCGGTCAAACAGCTGGACGCAGTTTTAGAAAAGCCTTGACAGAGATCAGAGGTCTGGCGAAAGCTGCTGAGGAGCTGCTGGGACCAAAAGGGTTTCTCCCATCCTGACGGCAGCCTGTGATGGGCTGGCGGGGGGGGACTGCTGGGGGGGCAGTCGGCTGAGCCGACTAGCCGCCTGCCCCCCGCCCATGCTGTCATTGGACTGATGGAAGCAGCGTGTGATGCTTTGGCCTGTGTTGAGTTTGAGTCTCTGTTTGTCTTTCAGGCAGTGCGGCTACAGCAAAGCTTCCCAGGAGGGCGACGAGGAGCTCTACTTCCAGTGTAAGTGATGTCCCCGTGTACCCCTGGGGGGGGCGGAGCTAGCCGCGGGGGGGGGGGGGGGCGGGTGGGGGGGGGGGGGGGGGGGCTGGCGCCGGGGGGTGGGGTTGGGGGGGGGGGGGGGGGGGGGCTTCTCCCAGTGGGCTCAGAGTCTGATGGTGACTAAATGAATCCAGTTTGATGCATTGCTTCCTGTTTCTGTTACTGTTCTGTGTTACTTTGTGTTAGTTTGTGTCTTAGTTTGTGTGGGTGTGTGTGTGTGCGAGTGGGTGTGTGCGCCCTTTCGCATTGTTTAATCTCCCAGCATGCAGAGTTCTCTGGAGAGCTTTGGAACGCTGTGCCTGATGAATAATGAGCCGCAGCGTGTGCTTTGGAATTAAATCTGCACAAACAAAGACATGCCAACAGCTCCACATGCAACACACACAGCTTTCAGAGACACACACACACGCTTTCAGAGGCACACACTCTTTCAGAGGCACACACACACACCTTCTGCAGAGCGGCTTAGTTTCTCGCTGTCTGAGGGGTCCTGACATTAAAGAGCACGCAGGTGGGGTGGAAGACAGAAACTGGTTTAGCTTCAGGCCTGAGGGCCCTGAATCCCAGAGGAAGCTGTGGAGGACACAGTGAAGTCAGAGAACAGAAAAGTTCTGGCCTTGAAGTACAAGAACATCCTCCTTTTACTGTTTATGGAGCTCATAAAAAGTCCACACAGCCCAAATCATATCAGGATCCCTCTAAACCTGGCGGTTCCTCTGACCCTCCTGGTCCTTCTGACCCTCCTGGTCCCTCTGACCCTGGCGGTTCCTCTGATCCTCCTGGTCCTTCTGACCCTGGTGGTCCCTCTGACCCTGGTGGTTCATCTGACCCTCCTGGCCCCTCAGACCCTGGTGGTTCCTATGAAACTTTTGGTCCCTCTGAACCTCATGGTCTCTCTGACCCTGGTGGTTCCTCTGACTCTCCTGGTGGTTCCTGTGACCAGCTAGTCAGCTAGCGGCGTCCTGCTGGTCAGAGCTGGCTGCGGTTGTTTGGTAAAGACGGGAGGCAGCAGGCCGCGGTGTTTTGCTGTGCAGTCAATAGTGCTCTCATTTGTAAATGTCAGCTGAAATTTCCCTTTGTTGGCTTTCATTACAGTCACAGCGGTGGCTGTAGAGGTCCCAGGAATCATTAACGACAGCCTGACTGTGGAAGGATGTGGCCATTAGTGTGTTTCAGACAGGCTGTGTGCAGTCAGGGTTAGTCGCTATTAAACCTGAAACCACCTCCAAGGTCACCAAAACAAGATCCTAAACGTGTCCAACAGCTTCCATCTGAACCTAAACATGTCCATGAGATCCTAAATGCTTCCAACAGCCTCCATCTGAACCTAAACGTGTCCACCGGTGAGACAGGAAACAGCCTGAGTCTCGGCCTGCTGGGATGTCTGAGGACATTTGACTGTGGTCATTAGGGCCTTAGTTGTTCTCATGGGCATGGAAGAGCTCTTTGATCAGCTGAATAGGACACACTGACCAGTGGGAAACACTCCTAAACTCCTTGTTGTTTATGGTTATTTCTAATCTAAACTTGAAAATGAACAACAAAGAAAGAAGAGAGCTACAAGTACCAGGAGACTTTTAGGTTTCTCTAACTCTGCGCTTTAAAGTGGATTGTGTTGTTCCAGTTTCTGACTCTGTGTGTGTGTGTGTGTGTATGTGTGTGTGTGTGTGTGTGTGTGATGGAGACATTTTGAGCAGGCGATGAAGACAAAGGGCCTTGCGATCAGAGGAAGCCTCAAGTCTTTGATCTTAGTTTTCTCTCAGGAATTTATGAGGTCAAAAGGCGGAAAATATTTCCCATCTTTCAGGAGAAGGAAGTGGTGAAAAGAGGCAGCGCGGCGGGTTTGAGTCGGGTTGTTAGGAGCAATCAGACACAAAGTCAAGCTGCAGACTCTGAAGCATCGCTGATAAACTCTACTATTGATTTGCCTCCCTGGATCAAAGAGAACAGCTTTTTCCCATATTTGCCGTAATGTGGAACAATCACAGAGCCCCAGGTTCTTTGTTGCAGCTCTGATGGAAGCTGGAAGCCCAGAGCGGGCCCCCCCCTTATTCACCAGCTCAGGCTGTGCCGGGGACATCTGCCCCCAGGCATGTGGAGCCCCAGCAGATGTGCAGGGTTCCGGCTGACTCTGAAGCCTCTCTGTGTGCTTGTAGTTAAAATCCCCACTCGGAGGACGTACATCGACCCAGAGACCTGCGACGACCTGCTGCAGGCCGTGCACGCCTTCGCCAAGGAGCTGGACAACCAGAGCGTCAAGATAGAGAGGATAGTCCACACAGGTACCCCCCGCCCCCACCCCATTGCTCTGCAGTCTTCTGCAAACTGCTGAGCCAAGCTCATCACAGGCAGCCTGACCTGAGTTCTCAAGGGGCTGGAGGTCCTCTGTCCTGCAGCCCTCTCCTCTCTGAGCTCTGCTTGCCCCCCCCCCCACAGGTGACTTTGGGGAGGTGTGTCGCGGCTGCCTGAAGCTGCCCAGTAAGAGAGAGCTGCCGGTGGCCATCAAGACGCTGCGGGCCGGCTGCTCCGACAAGCAGCGCCGCCACTTCCTGAGCGAGGCCGGCATCCTGGGCCAGTTTGACCACGCCAACATTGTCCGGCTGGAGGGCGTCATCACCACCGGTGAGCGGGGGATATGGGGGTGAGGGCGTGGGGGGCAGGAGGTAGGGGGCAGGATACACAGATACTGAGGGCACACACCCCAGCCGCTCTGACCCGGCCATGCTCTGTCCCCCCAGGCAACACGATGATGATCATAGTGGAGAGCATGTCCAATGGTGCCCTGGACTCCTTCCTCAGGGTGAGTTCTGTGTGCCGTTCAGCCATTACTGGCCATTACCCTAACCTTAACTCTAACCCTAAACCTGATCCCTTAACCATAACCTTAACCTTAACCCTAACTCTACCCCAAACCCTAACCCTACCCCTAACTCCTTAACCCTGACCCCCCTAACCCTAACCAGGCCCTGCTCAGCCAACAGCTGGAACATATGTTTCTTCTCTCTCTTCAGAAGCACGAGGGCCAGCTGAGCGTGATGCAGCTGATGGACATGCTGACCGGGGTGGCGTCCGGCATGAAGTACCTCACTGACATGGGCTTTGTGCACAAACGGCTGGCAGCACACAAGGTGAGGGGGTTAGGGTTAGGGTTAGGGTGGGCCTTCACAGCTGGGGTTTCTCTCCTGATGCTCTCTTTGTCTTCCTGCTCTCAGGTGTTGGTGAACTCCAACCTGAGCTGCAAGGTGTCTGGCTTCAGACCTCTCCAGGAGGACAAGATCGAGGCCGTTTACTCCACCCTGGTAAGAGCCCAAGCCAGGACCTGTCCTGCCGTCAGGGGCCGGTGTTCAGCCCCCTCCTGCTCTGGTCTGTCTGCACCGGCCAGAGCAGCTTCTGGGTTTGAAGACCAGGCCTCTGGAGGTGGAGGGGACTCTGAATGGGAGGACATAGGGGGAGTTGATGTCCTCCAGTTCCCCCTGATGAGCCGAGTCCTGCGCTCCTCTCAGAACTGAACTTTGTGGTCTTTGTCTGCAGCACGCAGGGAAGAGTGTGGTTCTGTGGACCGCCCCCGAGGCCATCCAGTACCACCGCTTCTCCTCGGCCTCCGACGTCTGGAGCTTCGGCATCGTCATGTGGGAGGTCATGTCCTTCGGAGAGAGGCCCTACTGGGACATGGGCAACCAGGATGTGAGCTTCCTTCTGCCTCCTTTGTATTCTAATATCTGCCCACCCTCCACCGGCACTCTTATCAATGAGCTCTAAAGCGTACCCACCCAGCAGGAATCTCATTAAAATAGAGCCACAGTGGCTCTGAGAGCTGTGCACGGCCTAAGCACCCTTCATAAGTCTGCCTCAGCTCCGTGACCAATCCTTTTCCCGTTAAGGACGCGTTGACCCCCTTCCAGTGGCCGCCGTCCGGCCTGAGAGCAGCTTCTCTTTAAAGTGCTGAAAATCCTCCAGGAAAATCCAGCCTTTAAGGAGAGGAGGCTCTCCCGGTTAGAGAGGAGCTGGAGCCTGATTTCCTCCTCAGAGGGGCGGGGGGGCTTTTCAGCTGAAGCCTTGGCACAGAAAGGCTGACGGTTCTGCCTCATGCAGCAGGTCTGAGGCGGGGCGGTGTTCAGAGGCTTCGTTGTGGGCAGCTGCACATGGATATGTTGGAGCTGCCCCGGAGCCAATTCCACCTGAGCTGCCCTTCAGGAGGCTTCCCCACAGCCTGGCTATCAGAGGCCAGAGGTGGAGCTGGTGGAGCTGGCTGAGCTGGGGGAGCTGGGGGACAGGAGACCTGGCTAAGCGATCCATCACACGACGAGGGACTTGTTGGTGGGCCTGTCCACCGGCGTGGCCTTTACCTCCCGCCTCTGATTAAATGGAAATGTCAAACGCTGAAAAGCATTTTATGAATGCTCTTTAGTGAGATAGCCGCTCAGGGCTAAGCGGGGGTGGATGGGGGGGGGGGGGGGGGGGTGGTGCAGGGAGAGGGCTTATGAAATAATGCTGCTGATGGATGTCATTCCTGTGATTAGGCTCCGACTTTACGGCCTCCTTTCAGGAGATTGTATTTCTTAGAGTGGCCCAGGCGGCAGATTTATCACTGAGAGGATCTGTTGTGAGCTGCCGGGGCCAGAGGCCTCTGATGTGTTGGTTTGATGTGGTAGTAAAGGACTCTCAGGAGGTCTACCGGTTGGACTTGGTCTTCCCGGTTGGACTCATCCCTGCAGGTCCTGCCTCTGTCACTGATGGGCGCTGTGTGCAGGTGATAAAGGCCATCGAGGACGGCTTCAGGCTGCCGGCTCCAGTCAACTGTCCTCCACACCTCCACCAGCTGATGCTGGACTGCTGGCAGAAGGACCGAGCAGAGCGGCCCAGCTTCAGCCAGATCCACTCCGCCCTCAGTAAGAGCATCCGCTCCCCGGACGGCATCGGCTCGTCCACGCTGGCGCGCAGGTAGGCCACAGACGCCTCAGCTAACAGCTAGCAGCTAGCTATAGGGCCGCAGGCGTCCACCCACCACTCCCCTCTGCCCTACAGAACCCTGAGCTCCTCCATCACGCTGGCAGAGCGGCCCCTGCCCAGTTTCCCGGCCTTCAGCTCTGTGGGCGAGTGGCTGGACGCCGTGGACATGGGCCGCTACAAGGACAACTTCACAGCCGCCGGGTACTGCTACCTGGAGTCTGTGGCCCGCATGACCGTCCAGTAAGTGGCTCCTGACCCCCCCTGACTCTCCCTCTGGGCCCGGCTGGACTCCAGCCGAGTCCAGAGTTGGACTTGATCCACTGGACAGATTCCAGTCTGTCAAAGTGTGTCGTTTACTTCCTGTTACCCACTTTAGCATCAAGCCGAGAGGCTTTTTTCTCATTCTGCTGTGGAGAATGAGTTCAGATCCAGATTCAGCGGAATCAAACAGCCGATAGTGTCTGTGTGTAATTCATGTCTCAGTCAATGCATCCAAGCCCACAGAGGCACTGACCGAGACATGAAGAATGTACTTAACCATGCACACACATTCTGTCCAGCGCTGACTTTTACACATGGGGGTAATAAAACAAATAATACACATTATTCTTTTTTTTTTTACACAACTGTTAATGCTTAGGGTGCATGTTAAATCGTCTTCAAATGGACTGAGTCCATAGATGCATAAATCTGCTCCCAGAGTTCAGACGAAGCCTGAAGAGGACGCCTGAGATATTAAAGCTGGACAGAAAACCCAGTGAGTTGAGGCTTTCTCCCCATTAGAGAGTTAAACGTAGCTGGTCTGAGAGCTGGACAGGGTCTGTGGGGGTGTTTTGTGGGGGTGTTTTGCTTGGTCAGTGGGGGCGTTTTGTGGGTGCGTTTTGCTGACTGGGCCTTCCTGTCTGCAGGGACGTGCTGAGCCTGGGCATCACCTC